TTATGTTATTTTCGTAGATTAAAGAAGGAGCAAATGTACACATTTCATCGGATGATCTGGAAGATGATGGAAAGGCTTCTCCGCTTGTCCTAGCAGCAAGGTAAATTAAATCCTGAAACTAAACAGTCTTCCATGTCATCCCCCAGACCCAACTCATTTTTCTAATTCTGGATCTCTTATGCATTATTACTAAGCTGTGGCTGGGCAGAAAATTGTCTTTATTTCTGTAATGACACTTCTGAACAACAACAACAGCTGAACAAAGGGCGGATGAACTCCTCGGAGCCAACGGCCAAGCATGCTTTAGTTTAAAGAGTAGGTTTTAGTTTCATAGGACTACATCAACTTTTTTCAAAATGTCACACTCAAAGAGCTCAAATCACCAAGTGCATAGAGGCTTTTTTGCATGATGCGATTTACAAATCCAACTATTATTATTATTATTTCTTTGTTACCTCTAGCTTATTTTTTGAATACTTATGTGTGTTATTATATGCTAATTACTCCTTTGCCAAATTTACTGAGTCTAATTTTTGTTCTTTTAGTATTGAATATGCTATTATCTTCGTTTTGCTGTTCCCTTAGCTGAGGAGGTCATATCAATAGTTGAAAGCTTAATAGTTAATGTGTTATTTATCCTAGATATTCTGCAAAAGCCACATGATTCACTTGTTAGCCCAGTATATCTACAGGAATTACAACAAGATCTCATTTCTTGCAAGTCTCATGTCACAGGGAACATTTTCATTTACCTTGTGAAAAGGAAATGAAGATGAATATGTGTAATTTAAAGAAAAGGAAATGAGGATGAATATGTGCAATTTGTTTTTGGTGCAGGTACTCTCATTTTGAAGTGTTGCAACTTCTGTTGTCAAAGGGAGCATCAGTGACTGCCATTGACGAGAAGAACAAGAAAACTGCTCTCCATTATGCCGTTTGTTCTAAAAACAGTAAGTGTGCCTGTGTCAAAGTTCAATAGATTTATGAATATGGAGAAAAGTATCAAAAATGAGGTTTGCCATCGCAAAACCAGCATCAGAAAAAAAATGGAAATTGACTTTTTAATATATTCTTATTCTCTACATTATAAGCTTGAAAATGATGTGTCATTTAATGGAATTGACTTACTATTGGCAAACTTATGAATCCAGTAAAAGTATCACTACTTCTATGTACTGAAGTACTTAATACTACCACAGTACATTCTTATGCTAATTACTCACTTAACATTTAGCAACAGTACGCTAGTTTTGGGATGGCATGCCTCAAATATTCTGGATGCATTGTATTATATTAAATTGCATTATAGTAATCATTATGTATTAAAATATATATATTTATATTGAATTGCATTACATCACAGGTGGGCAAAGTGTGGGCTGCATGCCGCCTTCCAGCAATTTTTTTGCGGCACACGAAAATGAAGTAAAAACCCTGTGTGTGCAGCCCGTCAACCACATTTGGCTAGAAAACACCTTGTTTTTTGTGGCCCGACACCGATCATCTGTGAAAAGTAATAGTAAAACTGAGCATAAAGTGGCCATAAAACAGTGTATGAAGGTTTTTGAAAGTGCACTGAAACATAAAATTTTGGGTGCGGCCCACGGAGTCCAATCAAAACTTCACTTTGGCCCTCCGACCAATTTTGATGCCCACCATCCTACCTGCATTACATGATATATGTTATATTTTGTATGTATTTTATATTATTGTCAATTTTTATTCATATAATAATAGAGGTCTCTCTCCAATTAAAGACCACTTGTGGAACTGGCACTTCCATGGTATTTTGCAAATTCGGTCTCTAATTAGAATAATAAAAATAACAGAAATTTTTTAAATTCAGAAAAGTATTCTGTACTGGAGGTGGTCTTTAATTTGAGGGGTCTTTACTTAGAGGGAGACCTATACTTTGTATTAAATTATAATTGCTTTCATTTTAAACAGCTGACAGTGAAATACTGGCGGTAGTGAGAGCGCTCATACGCAAAAAGGCCAACGTAAATGCACTTGATGTAAACAAACGTACGCCTCTTCATCTTGCCGTGAACACTAACGATGGCGGGACAAATACAACTGCAGAGGTAGTTGAGGTTTTGCTGGAACATAACGCAAATGTTTTTGCTAAAGATGAAGATGAGTGCCTCCCACTACACTATGCTTTCTCAAAAATCGACGAGTGAGTCAGTTTTTCTGGATTCTTTTCTACAAATAATGGAATTTATTGAAACAAAAAAATATTGCCAAATCAGAGTGGCATTTGAAAATCAGGCTTGGAAAGTCTATTTCGTGAATACTTACCTGGATAATCCGATAAATGCCTAAGTTTCCTTTGAACTTACCTCTTGAGCATAAAAGACAAAATAATGGACTCGTCCTATCTCGCCTTTACATGCCCTACATGAATGAACAATATCCTTGTTTCCTTCTCGCTTTTGTCTTTTATAGACTTGTGAAAGCTTTCCGGCGATTTCTAGTGTTGTATAACAAAGAGTTTGTTGGTTTCCCATAGCCATGTTCGCGCGGAAGCCTACCTGTTCGAGGCCTAGCCCACGCGATGATAAGCACCCTTCTTGCCCGGCATGTCGCTCGTGCGATCGTGCGCCCTGTGTGATATTTGCAAAGCCTGAGCTCCTGTGAGGTTCCAGGCTGCTGTGGCTTGGATTGCTAGCAATCTCGGGCCCAGTCAAATTGACCTCTGATCAGATTTCGCTCATTACAAACGAAGCGCTGTCATTGTTGCAGCAGCAGCGTGTCGCTGCTGCGCCAGTTGCTCCTTCTCCTCCTGCTTCCCCAGCTGTTCCAGTTATTGGAACTACGTCTGCCGCGGGGTTGGAAGTTCGGGTTCCTGGGGAGTTCTCCCCTGCTGCTGTGGCCATTTTAGGGTTCAGAGCCAAACATCATCCACTAATAACATTTTTGATATACTTGAAGCTAATAGAATTATTTAATAATACTCGTATATATTTATTCAACAGTTTGGATAACAATTCGCAGATGGATCCGATAGAAATGGCGACAACAATTATTGAGAGTATGAAACGCAATCAGCTGAACTCCAGGAATGTTCGGGGCCAGACCCCACTGCACCTCGCTGCATATCGTGGAGCCTCTATATCGGCAATGTATATTGTTGAGGTGATTATTCTCTAAAGATTCTAAACTTCTTTTAATGCAAAAATGTTGCTTCTAAAATCTGCTTTGTTGCAGTCATTTATGGTTTTTTGTTGTCCAAAATCACAATAAATAATGTAAAGCAGACATTAAAATTGGTAGGGTCAAATTTAATTAATAATATATACTTAATGACCATCTATGGGCCTGTTTCTGCTGAGCAAGAAAACACGTTTTTAAACGGTTATTAAAAAACACATGTTTTTTCCCCAGCAGAAACGGGCCAAAAAACAAAAACACAGTTAAGAATGCGTTCTAAATATGAGTGTTTTAACATGCATTTTTTATAGGGTTGGCATTCAGAAAATACGTTTTTTCGTACACTTTTCAGCTGCAACACAATACTGTGTTAATCATGACCCGTCGGTTACCTAAATTGACCTCTTCGTTGGTTCGATAGTTTGATCGCGGGAAATTTGGGGCGAAAAAAAAATGAAACCAACAGGATAACATGCTTTAGCCTTACCATAATTTTTTCATGCTATCGCAGCATGTTGTTTACTTTTGCATGCGACCAATAAGGATATACAAACAAATATTACCTGTGTTTAATTCAATGCATTTTAAGACATCTGAAAAACACTTATGAATAAGGAGAGTAATAAAAATAGTGTTACATGTATACAAAACGGAAATAAGAACAGAAACAAAGTCAATTTTACAAACAAATTCATATATACAGGTAAGGCCAATAAAAAGATTGTTGTATTGCCAAAGAACAGTGACTCAGGGGCTGTCATTTCAAATATCTTGCATGTTGCTTAGACTGCTGTTGGTAGCAAAAGGTATGTTTTTGCTAAAAATTAAGCCAACATAAGATTATTAAGAAAGTGGCTAGTTAAAATAAAGTGCTTTTTCACTTGTGTGTGAAAGTATGAAATAATAGCACTTGTATATTTAAAAGGAATGAGATATGTGCTCTGTGCAGGAGAAGTATGTGGATAATAGTTTTATTCAAAATGGTATAACATATCTTTTATTTTGCTTTTCATATTCCAGAGGATACAAGATTATGAAGTCCGGGATAAATTTGGAAACACACCACTAGCTACAGCCTTGCTTGGAGGTTATGATAGGTAAATTATTATTATTAGTATTATTGACTTATTTTATTTATAACATTTAGGCAATCCTGCTTTGTTGATTTACTTTTGTATTGTTTTTCTTTTCTGTGTCACACAAGTAAAATAAATAATATATGATATTTAAATTGGTCTATTTCGTGAATACTTACCTGGATAACCGACTAATTGCCATTGGCCCCAAAACGGAACACCCCTTCGAAAAAAAAATGGAACAGTCCGACCCAAGGCGCCACGTGCGAACCGATATGATATTTAAAATGATTTGGTGGATTAGATTTTTCATTGATTCTCTCATTTAACATGCATTAAATAAAATACAGTACTATTCTGCTAAATTTGTTTTATTTGATAGAATATTTCTACTATCTTAATCATAGATTTTCAATGAAAATGAACTTTTTTGATATAATATGATTACAATATATTTAATATTCCTATATAACTTTTTGTCTCTTTTGTTAGTATGTGTATAATGCTGATTCAGAAGGGGTCCAGTATTAACATCAATGTTACTGAAGTCACAAAGGAGATGCTGAGCCCTCCAAAAAAGGATGAAGCAACGAAAGCCAAGTTTTGGCAGTGGAAGCCAAGTATTGTACCAGAAGCTAAACCTGAGGTAAAGTCCTTCTTTCGAAGAGTACTGGAGAATAACTGGCAAGGAGTGAGCTACCTTGTCATGGATCGACTCGACAAGTTCAAGATGACGTTCCTTCAAGCTGTACAGGTGTGTATATTTACACCCATAGACCCGTAGACAAACCCGTAGGCACACCCCCAGACATTTGGATATTCCCACATAATTAGTGACATACCCACATACTATTAGACACACTCATAGACATAGACACGCCGACAGACTGTCATATATGGCTACAACCTATTAGACACATCATCAGGCTTGCCCACATAATGTTAGATTCTCCCACATACAGTCGGACACATCCATAAAGAATAGACATGCCCAGACACAGTTAGAAATGGTCACTGGCTGTTAGAAACACCATTGGACACAGCCACTTACTGGTAGACAGATCCACATGCTGTTAGACACACCCGTAGACACATAGACATGCTCACACTGCTACAGAAACCTTGACGCACCCCTAGACATGCCCACAGTTCGTTCAAAGATACTGAACCATGCAGTAACATTAATTACCCTTGAGATGATATACAATCATGGTTGTCGATAGTGAGATATAGTTAATATTTATTTTATGTGTTACTTATGAGTTACTTGGTATTTAGCGCAGTAATCTTTAGGTTACGAAGCGCTTTGTTTTCCATGTTCATTGAGTCCACAGGCTTTAGTGTTGCTGCCATATTTATTAGCATAGTACCAGGCAACCCCACCAGGTACACATATATACTACTGGGTGGAAAGAAGCAACGCTTGGCTCAAGGACACAAGCCAAGTGCCCAGCGAGGTTGGGAAATTAAACTGTTTCTACGGCACCAAGCCGCTTCCACAATTAATATTTATTCAGGTTTGACTGACTTTAAAAAAATGTTTTTCTATAGTGTGCCTTTGAAGCCCTAAAATTCCAGACAGCTTTAACCATGATTCGCAAACAAAAGGACACCCAGAAAATCTTGGCTGTGAACAACAGAAGCCAAAATCTGCTTCATTTGTTATGCTTGAATGCACCTCGCAATCAGGAAACCAACCTACAAGTACAGGTAAGAGAGGTAGGGGTGTTGTCACCTGTTGGCTCATATCAGTCACTGTCTTGTGAGAAGTTTATTAAATAAAATAAAGAAATAAAATGTAAAAATTATTTAATTGTATTTGTATTTTGTGGAGCTGTAGCTCAGTTGTTAAGATGCTTACTTCATAATTCCAGGATCCTGGGTTCAAATCCTGTATGATACCAGAATATTTAACTCTAATAGCCTAGGCTAGGTCTACATGTGATTAGCCTAAAAGGGGGCTAGGTGTAGGCCTACCCTACACCTAATTAAACTAGGCCTAGTCTTGTTAATAGACTAGAAACAACTTCTACCCTGTAAGTGGCGAGTCAAAATAAATAAAAAGATAAATATATAATAAGATTTATATTTATTTACTTTGAGAGCCTCCCTATTGAAGTTGATTATTACTATTTAACAATCTATAGACCACTATTGTTTTTGCTGCTGATCAAAAGTTTTAGGGGATTAGAGAAAATTTTCATCTTTGACATGCTTTCCCATAAATTTAAAATTTCTGATTAGTTCCAAAAATCCACATTATGGTGTTTAATAATTCACCTCCTGTTTTGTCACACACTAGGTTGCTGAAATGCTCTCCAAACGCGGCTTGGATTTTTCTCGGAAAGACGCCTACTCCTGTACAGCCATCACTTACACCGCTGCTACTCAGAATAATGCACTCATAACTTTCTTTTTCAGTAAGTAAAAAATGAGAAAAATTTGGGGGAAAATGTTGTTATATATAAAGCCATATTCACACATTTTCGTTTTCATTGCAATAGCTAGCCCTCAAACTACCCTCCCAATTTTTGGGTTGGCATAGGCCTACTTCAGCCTGCCCAGCTACTGTAGCTTGACCAAGGTTTTTCAAATCGATAGTTCACATGTGCAGCAGGCATGATAGGCCTAACATTCGTAGCAAAGAATAAATAACATTGATACGTTTTATAAAAAGATTGTAATAGTCAATTACCAACTTATGGGAAATATCCGTATTGTAGAAGAAATACAACGCTGTGATGTCTATTCCATTTAAGGTAGGCATAGGTTTAGATAGGAAAATAGACCACTTGTACTAGGCCTACTCTGTCTGGCTGTGTGATGTGAAGCGTGATGTTCTGGCTTAACCAAGAAAGCTTAATATTTTCAGAATAATAATAATAGGATGTTAATCTTTTATATAATACTGTGTTTGACTTTTAAAATGTGGTTGAATAAATGAAAAACAATCCATAAAGAAGCAAGACCGTTTCCATTAAATCATTATTGAAGGAACATCAGTTTTATACTACTAGGCCTATAGCCTTGCTTATAAAGAATTTCGCGATTTTTGCTCGCCCTAAATTTTCGCGATTGTTGCTGTATTATTGAAAAAAGGTTATTGTTGATTATACTTCATGAAATTAAGAAACGTGAGTGATTTTAGATTCTGTTGAGTCGTGTGTATGTTATGTTAGTGGGTGTTCACTAAAGTAATTTTCAGTTTCAGGTACTTGATTTGTTGCATGAACAATGATTAAATTTGATTTGTCAATTTCTACAATTATAATTGTCCGATGTAATTTTATTATAATTTACAGACTACGACAATGACAAATTTGAGAATGCTATCAGTACCCTTGATTCAATTGGTCGATTGCCGATGGCAGCCCTCTTCTACAACCCTACTTTTGATGAAACCACAAAACATATTATAGAGTAAGTGTCCTTCTAAAGTTTAGTCTATAGCCCAGAATTTTGTGTGTGATTTTTAAATTCCTAACCTAGTGCATACAATCATAATGTAATCAATACTGTCTGACCACCACTGATATACAGACAATTCAATTTGACTCCTATTTTGTGATAAACTTAAGCCCAGGCTATCAAATTTGTGACATGCCTAAATATTGTCATGATGACATCACATCATGACCATATATAGGCACTTCATGACTATATATGGGCATACAACAATTTTTTTCAAAAAATATTTGATAATCTAGACAGCCTTAGTTTTTTTTCTTTGCATTTACAGACTTTTTATGAGATGTGGTGGCTCCCTCAACATTCGTAGTCCGATACCGTACGTGGATCCAGCCATCACAAAGTTCATTCCACAACCAAAGAGCCTTACTGAATTATTTCATGGTACACCTCACCGTAACATCGATCAGACCCCCCTCATCGTTTGTATTCGTAATCGTCTATTCGATGCTGTTTCTTTCCTGCTCAAAAACGGCGCAGATCTAAATTACCCAGACAAAGATATGGTCACCCCTCTGATGCATGCTGTTAAGAAAGTAATTATTGTTGTTATTCTACCAGGACCAATGAATCAATTCTTTAAGTCTACACATCGGATTATTTTTCGGCCTATTTCTAACGTTCAATGCCAGTAGTGCATTTTGGGTAATAAATGGTGACATCATTGCTAAAATAATTTAGCCGTAATTGTCAAAAATAATAGTGTTTTTTGAACATGATTCGCAATTCAGCCTTTTGGCTGCCATGTTTTTGTTTTTATATGTTTTATGAATTTGAATTTTGAATAAATACCATATAATATAGAAGTTATCAAATGTATTAAAGATTGAATGTTGGCCTTTTGAACCACTATAAAAATCTGGTTACACTAAAATGTTATGTTTTTTTTTGTTCATATTCCCCATTTTTTATAAGTTATATTATTTGATATAGGACTTTATACTTATATATTAAATTGTATATAACCTTTTTTTTGTATTTTAATAAAATATAATTGCAATATTATTAAGTATTTTTTAATAATTAAATATTTTTACATGGACTTTTAATAAATAAAATAATATAGGAAATAGTAATTGTATATAATATTTTTTGACTATGATACTTTAAGGATTTTTTGGCCTAGTTACTGACCATCTGAATGCAAATATACAATTTATCATGAATTGTTGATTTATCTGTAGAATGATGATGACATAGTGAAGCTACTGTTAAATGATTCCTATACGATTAACGGCAAGAGTGGTGCTAGGGCTGGCAACAATATGTACGTAGGTCAACCTCGTCTGATGTGGGGAGTGAAAAAAGCAAAAATGCCCAGAGGTATATTTATCATTTATAACTTATTCATTCATTATACTGCTTAGTTGCTTTATTGTGTGTGTATTATGTATATATATATATATACTGTCTCTTATACACATCTAGATGTGTATAAGAGACAGGTACACATATATACTAATTGTTAACATATATGGCATAATACAAACAAACAAATATTAAAATAGAATCCAGTATTTATTTGCATTGCTATTCTCCCAACGACCATTGGAAGTCAAAGCAATGGCACTTAACTAGACAATGGTTACTCAGTTACAACCAAAGCTGTTTTGATGGTATTCATATTTTTTAGCGGGCAATATATCCTATACGTTATTGAAACCAACATTCACTTCTAGATAATATTTAACTAGACAACTGGAGCAAATTCTTGGTTAAAGCATACACTATTTTAATTGATAATCAATACAGTAACATTGAACGAACGTTACTTCGAATAAAGAGAGGGAGGCCATGATTCAACATTTCATCTTTTATCTATAACCCATAATTTGCAGCCTCATTGTGCTAAATTGTGTATGGTCGTGGTCCGTGACTATTGCAGCAGCCGTAGATAGGCGCTAAATAGCTTCATGTTCAAATTAGTCTGCAACAACAGGGCCAAAATGAACTATAGCATCAGGGTAATTCCCTTATATAGCACATCATGTCAATGCAGCTATGTAAGTCAAATTACTACCTAGCCTTTGGATAAAACACCTATGTAGCATATGCACAGCTCCCAGATTGAAGTATCTGAAATATAACTGAATATTTACATTTTTATTTTATAGGCTATGGTTTTGTAAATAGCAATGATGATGACGAAGATGAAGTTGATGAAGATGATGAAGATGATGAGAGCAAGGAAGAGGAGGATATGGATGTGGATGAGAATGAAAATGAAAATGAAAATAGTGATGAAGATATGGATTCTGAAGAAGGTAACGGTGACAAAAAGGAAGAGAAAAAATTAGCCAAAAAGAAAAAGCAAATTGGTAAGTAAACTTTGTATTATAACATTAACTTTTTTTTCATTTATAATTTGAATTCACATTTTCATGTTTTATTATTATTGTTATTATTAATTTATTGTATTATATTATACATACATAACATCATTTATATAGTGCTATTTCAAGAAGATTAGAGCACTCAAAAACCTGGTTCTCACAAGAGCCCTAGTATCTGGATCGAGAGCTAACCGTTAGCGCTAACCATTAGTGCTAACCGTTAGCGGTATCAGGATACCGCTATCGGTTAGCAAGTTGAGTGCGTTTCTATCATCAACCAATCGCATGTACGTGTTTACAATTTCATATTGGCCAGTGATTCGATCATCATATTTTTGGTATCCGAATCAGGATTTTCTCGTATGGACGCACGACAGCTAACAGTTAACAGGATCCAGATCCTGCTAACCGTTAGCAGCCGTGTGAGAACGTAGCCAAAGTGTGGACCACAGGAGCTTTTACAGTAACTTTCTTCTCCCTTAAGGGTCTTTTTGTGTCTGAGCTGGCCGGTAAACAGCTAACTCTTCTTTGTCCAAAACAGGGCTGGATGGACCAGTGCACCCTACTCGTTTTAAAAGATGTACTGGGTTTTTTATAGTGCACATAAGCCAATTGTGTACACTGGGCCTACGGTTTATAGTCTTTAACCAAGAAGACTTGTTCCACCTCCAGAACCATGGGCGAGCGTGCCATTCGAACCTGCGCCAATAATATGGATGATGGTTGCGGTGCCCATGCCTTAACCACTTGGCCATTCGACTCGCCAATATTATTGTATTGCTATGTATTATATAATAATATTTTACTATATCATATTAGATTTTTATTTTCATCATGATTTTTGCAGATGAGTTTGTAATGACAAGCAAAGTTAACTTAAATGCAACGGATTCTAGAGCCCGGAATGTGATCCACCACATGATACACGCCAAAGAAGAAGGAACCTACGAGAACGTAGACATGCTGGAGCTCCTCGTCAAAGTCGGTGCTTCATTGGACCAGAAAGATGCAAATGGCAAGACGCCATTAGACTACGCGATGAGCGTGAGATCCTCTGAATTGGCATCCACTATTCAGAGACTTCAAAAAGTAGCAAAGAAAAATATGGTGAGAACAATTCACAGATCTCAATCGACCAAATGAATAGCCAGTGGCATAGGGCGTCGTGGCGACGTCCTAATTAACCGATAATTACAGGGTTGTGGTAACGATGCCCGGGATATTCTATAATGTTTACAAAAGTTGTTATTGAGAGTTATTAACATAATTAGCTCTCTGACTTATTGAGTCAGAGTTCAAAGTAAAAATAAAATGGCTGCACCCAGTAAAAGAGCACGATTGATGTTGATAAGTGATTGTTTAATAATAGGGAGGTTTCGCAACCTTACGAAAATGATAATGAGTACGTCATTATTACTAATGTCATTATTACTAATGTCATTATTACTAACGTCATTATTACTAACGTCATTATTACTAACGTCATTATTACTAACGTCATTATTACTAACGTCATTATTACTAACGTCATTATTACTAACGTCATTATTACTAACGTCAATATTACTAACGTCATTATTACTAACGTCATTATTACTAACGTCATTATTACTAACGTCATTATTACTAACGTCATTATTACTAACGTCATTATTACTAACGTCATTATTACTAACGTCATTATTACTAACGTCATTATTACTAACGTCATTATTACTAACGTCATTATTACTAACGTCATTATTACTAACGTCATTATTACTAACGTCATTATTACTAACGTCATTATTACTAACGTCATTATTACTAACGTCATTATTACTAACGTCATTATTACTAACGTCATTATTACTAACGTCATTATTACTAACGTCATTATTACTAACGTCATTATTACTAACGTCATTATTACTAACGTCATTATTACTAACGTCATTATTACTAACGTCATTATTACTAACGTCATTATTACTAACGTCATTATTACTAACGTCATTATTACTAACGTCATTATTACTAACGTCATTATTACTAACGTCATTATTACTAACGTCATTATTACTAACGTCATTATTACTAACGTCATTATTACTAACGTCATTATTACTAACGTCATTATTACTAACGTCATTATTACTAACGTCATTATTACTAACGTCATTATTACTAACGTCATTATTACTAACGTCATTATTACTAACGTCATTATTACTAACGTCATTATTACTAACGTCATTATTACTAACGTCATTATTACTAACGTCATTATTACTAACGTCATTATTACTAACGTCATTATTACTAACGTCATTATTACTAACGTCATTATTACTAACGTCATTATTACTAACGTCATTATTACTAACGTCATTATTACTAACGTCATTATTACTAACGTCATTATTACTAACGTCATTATTACTAACGTCATTATTACTAACGTCATTATTACTAACGTCATTATTACTAACGTCATTATTACTAACGTCATTATTACTAACGTCATTATTACTAACGTCATTATTACTAGTCAAGGAGTTCCTGAAGGTGTTTAAAAGCAAGACTGGCAATAATTGGAGTGACGTTAAAAAGTAAGACATTCTCAAACTCAAATATTTTAATAATAATAGGTAGATTTTAAAGCGCAAATAAACAAGCCCTCTAAGCGCTAGGTCCAAATAAAAAAAAATGGCAAAATGAAAATAATTCCAACATACAATTATATGAGGCTTACCATCCAAAAGCCTGCATTAATGACCAAAAAAATGAAAAATGACTTTTTTATATTCTCCACATTATAAGCTTTAAAATGATGGGTCATTTACTGAAATCAACTTACTATTGCCAAAGTTAAGAGTAAAAGTATTACAGCTTCTCTGTACTAAAGTATACAATACTGACAGATTCTTATGCTAATTTCTCAGTTTAACATTTATTGACAGTACACTGGTTTTAGGATGCCAAGCCTCATGTTTTTTTGTGTTTGTTGATCATCCAAATTTATAGTTACTATATATTAAGAGAATTTGTTCATTGAATGTTACACTGCATATTATATATTATGTAAAGCTTTCTTCATACTATTAAGCAACTATTTCAACATTTGAGGGCACTTTTGAGAAATAGAAGCCAAAAGAGCTGTTATTAGAAAGAAAACTGAAATAATGGCTCATAAGCCTTCTATTTTCAAAAAATGCCTGAAATAACTTGGAAAAAATTGCTTCAATTGAACAACCTTTGTATCTCAACTAGCCTAGGTCTCAAGTCTAGACTTCATTCATGGTAGCAATGTAGGTTAGGCTTGTTTTCTGCATTGCCTAGCAACGAATTATTCTTTGTGGTGTCATAGTAAGGAGTTTTCCTAGAGCGTTTTGCACACAAGCCGCAAACAACAAAGGTCTCTATAATAAATTGTTGTCCGCTCGGGGATAGGGAAAATTATGTGGAAGATTAAATTATGACATCATGAGTGATTGACAAATACCTGTTTACTGCCCAAATATGTGTATGATATGACATCATCATGACTACTGGGCAAATCCTATATTTGTCACAAAGTGTCGACAGACCGCAGGAATTTACTCAATGTTGGATGAATGAAAGTATTATTTAACATGATTTTATTTATTTTATATTTTGTAAACTTTATTTTTTTCAGTTTTGAGAAACAGCCAAAGAAGTATCGGCTAGTTAATGGTGAACCGTATAAATCCAAGAAGGTATATAAACAAGATAAGAACGCTTCATTAGACATTACATTGCCCTCCAAGTTACCCAGTCCTGTTAAAGATGTGATGAAAAGTTTGGTAAGATTTCACACTTTCAATTGAAAATCATGTAATTTCAAATATAAAGAAAAAAGAGAATAAAAGATTATAAATTTGTTTACATCAACTACATAACCCTTTCGGACAATTTTGTATTTTCTACAGGTTCTTTCTAGTGTACACTTTTTGTAAATTTGTTTTAATTATAATTTGCTTTTCTCAGACAAATCACAAGATGTACGAAGCATCAATGAGAGACATCCACATCGATGCAAACTACTTCCCAACCCGCTATATCTCTCGTGAAATTCTTATGGAGGCCAAAACAATACTAGGAAAAGTGCGAGACAAAATCAAAGAAATTGACCGCCTTCGCAACGAGAATTTGTTACAGGAGATTGAGAAATACCAGGGCTTGATGGAAGAAGTATGCATAAATTTTAATATCTTTAGGCGAGACTTTTTTAATACCTTGTCTTAGCAAACCCGCCGCCCTCCAATAATGATGATTTCGAATAAAAATAAAAATTTTATTTTTGGCCAATTACTGCACCCACTGCCACAAAAAAAATTGAAATTTCAAGAAAAAAATAAGTTTTTCTTTATTTTATTACGCCCCCTACTGCCTTGAAATTTCCAAAAATAGGATATGTATAATATTTCTTCCTAATAATATAAATTTAAAGCATTTAACCCTCCCATTACACTGTTTATATTCACCAATAAAATTTTATTCTTATTTTCTCCTCTGTCTGGATGATTTTGGTAAAACTTGCTATATTTTTTCTCCCCCCACCCCCTGACAATCTTTAAAATAATAAGTTCGCGAAACATGGTGTAAGAAAAGTCTTGTCTTACAATGCAATGGAAAGGTTTAAATGATTTAATCCCATTCTCTTAAAACAAATGTTGGGAGGTCAAGAAGACATCACATTATATTCTAATGAAGAACTTAGAACAAATGGTTGACTATATCAAGCTTACCTCCAATGGATTGCTATGTGTTTAACCCGATTTTTCTAATTGACCTAGTAAAAACATTGGCAACTTAGTTTTTATATTACTTCAACATGAGCAAGTTAATTTAACAAAAGATTATTATGACCTTTTTTCTGGGGTCAAAACATCTTAGAAAAACTAATTTCTTTTTTTTTTTTTTTTTTTTTTGCTTCTATCAAGATTAACCTCCTCAGCAATGAATTTTATGAGCTCATCCCTCACATCAACTTCTCATATACAAACACATCACCGCTTACGGATGATAATACGCTCAAGGAAGCTGCCGAACTCATTGCCAACCTACTAGACTATGAAGTCGCCAGTAAGGTCATCCTAGCAGCTCGCTACCGTCAACAAGGTACACTACCTAGTGTTTTTTTAGGTGGAAATAAAAATATGTTTTTCCACACTACATATTTTCTTTTTTATCCAGTTACTTCTTTTTATGTCTAAATATTCTTGTTTCCATGCGCATACTTATGTTTCTAACATGGTCATTGGAATAAACACCTGTGCAACATACTGCAGTAGTCTGTGCATAGTTGTTTGGACCTACCAGGTACCCACTTATATTCATGGGTGAAGAGGAGACAAACGTAGATAAAGTACCTTTGTACAAGGACACAAACAAAATTCACAGTGATGGTTCAAACCTTAGACCTCAAGTTTAAGATTCCAAATCTCAACCACTTTATCAACTGCAGTTGAGATTTTCAAACATACCGATCCAAACATTGTCATGTTACTATTTCGTTTTTGTTATATCTGTTTGTGTAGCATTACTACTATTATTATATGGATCATATTCAAATGATACACACATTTTAAGTCCTGTCCAGATTAACACAATACTCACATATTATTTGCTAATCTGTGTGAATAATACACATATTTAAAGCCCTGTTCAGACTTATCAAATTTCATTTGGCAAAAATTTGTGACATGCCTAAATATGGTCATGATGACATCACATCTGACAATATATAGGCACATCATGACTATATATGGGCACATCATGACTTTATATAGGCACATCATGACTATATATGGGCATACAACAGTTTTTTGTCTAACAAAATTGGATAGTCTTGACAGAGCCTAAGGTATAAAATAATGAAGAGCTTTCGATTTGCACGGCAAAGTGACTCTAGAAAAGATTCACTCATGCATGACCAGCTTAGGTTTTCTACCAACTTGCATCCTAGAATTCACACGACGAGGAGAACTT